TGTGTGTGCGTGTTTGTGTGCCACAATTACCTGCAAGCTGTCTGGTTGACTGATATACAGTTTCAGATTAAAGTAGTCCGGTCTGTTTTCGTTCCAGAGCTAAATGAAAAACATGGTTTGTAGTGTTGCTAATGTGTATTTGATTTCATTCATAAAGTACGATACAGGATATAAATGCAGCGTTTATTTTCTAGGTTTTTCTTACATAAAGAAGCAGAGGTGAGACTACAAACAGCCTCAAGATGTTGTGAAACCCAGCAAACCAAAAACAGGCTTTTTGCTCAAGTCTACAACTTCTTCTTCTTCTTTGTAACTATAAATCTGCTGTCTCACAGACACATAAACCTCTAACCTTCGTCTGCCGAATGCCACAAACATTTAGAAAACTTGAATTATAGCTTGCCATTTAATTCCAGCATGATTAATATAACATGAAGGTTCTAACAGCCAGAGTTTGTCCTGACCTTGTGATGCAGAGCACACAGCAGCTCTGCGAACCAGTAAAAGGACTGGAGTTCCTTGCAGACCCACACAAAATACAACCTCTGCAACCTGAAACCCATCCAGCCATCACTAGGTGTACAGCAGGAAAGAAGGAAGAAGTCCATTAATAAATGCCCAGTGTGTGCATCATTTATAAGCATATAATATATTTTTGTAAGAACTCACAGCAGCGCCCGCAGCACACAGGCGAACGGGGTGACTCCTATTCCGCCGGCAACACAAAGACTGACATCATAGTTGAATACCTCTTCTGACGGACCTCCAAATGGCCCATCAACATAAACTCTGAACATACAATGCGGACAAAAAAAATAACAACACAAAGAAAACAAAAGATCGTTGGCTGAGAAGCTACCAAGATAAATATACACATATGCAATTATATTTCTCCCTTGGGTCAAACACACATAAACATCCTGCATTTGAAATCCTAGTCTGGGTGCAGTTGTGTGTGTGTGTGTGTGTGTGTGTGTGTGTGTGTGTGTGTGTGTGTGTGTGTCTGTCTGTCTGTCTGTCTGTGCTTTGGTGTGTGTGAACTGACAAATAGACAGCAATCCCCCAAATACATAAATTTCTCCACAACAGCTGCTCGCTCTCTTGTGTGATCAAGAATACACACACAAAAAATTAGACACAAACTTAACTCAACGTAACACAGAATACTGAGAAGATATCACACATGAAACTACATAAAAGATAAAGAACATGAAGGCCATCCACACGAGGCGTGGTTTGCGAGGTTTGCCATTACTGTCACATAATCATGAATACAGGAATCTGTAACACTTCTGAAATATTTATATTCATGGTCAAAATATATTCCGTTATTTAAAAAAATGAAATTTGTTCCAACACAGGAGGCCAAGGGGGTTTGGCCCTTTGATGGTTTGTTTAACTCATCTGACTGTCTATCAAACACAGAGCAGGAAGAGCACTGAGTCAGAGGTCAAAAGGTTGAAACCTTAAGCCATTCTGGGATTCTGAGCCTTCATGAGAAATCAAGTCAGCCACATTATTTAAGCAGACACACACAGAAACGTACTTGGGGTATCTCCTCTTTTGGGCCATGGGAAGGATCTCCATGTCTATCCTTGGCTCAGGAAGCAGCAGCTGTGTGAATCGTTCTGAGGACAGAGGAGAGGAGATAGTTCAGGCATGGTGTGATCTGTGAAAAAACCAGAGGGATCTCCTAATGGTCACATATACTCTCAAGCCTATTAGAATATTTAGATACATAATGCTTCTGTCAATGTAACTTCCATCTATTCATTTTCTACTGCTTATCTGGGTCCAAGTTGCAGGGGCATCAGTCTGAGCAGAGAAGCCCAGACTTGCATCACCTCAGCCTCCTCCAGCTCATCCAGGGTGACACAGAATTGTTTCCACGCCAGCTGCGTGAGTCCTGGTTCTGCCCCCAGGGGTCTCCTCTCACTAGGACATACTACAAATACCTCACCTGGGAGGCGTCCAGGAAGCATCCTAGTCAGATCCCTCAACTAACTCAGCAGGCTCTTTTCGATGTGCAGGAGCAGCAGCTCTATTCTGACGCCCTCTAAACTGTCCGACCTCCTCATCCTGTCTCTAAGGGATCACAGCTCCCTTCAAGTCCCTTGAAACCCTTATATTGATGCTATGATTATTATTCCTTGTAATGCACTAATATCCTTATTCTTTCACCAATTTATTCAAAAACTGAGAATAAGAAGGCAGAAATGGACAGGAGGAATTAATGGTTGCAATAGTTGCTAGTTGCACGTCAGATTAGGTTGCAGGTAGGGTTATAGGGTTTTAGAAGTGTTTGCAGTTACAAAGTAGCTACGGCATGAATTTCCTACTGAAGCATAAATTCCCAGTAAGAGTTCATAAATTTTTGAAAATTAATTGGCCTGTAACACATTTCCAGCATTATAGGCTACAGGTCCTAACTCATGAATGTTAGTACTGATCTTTCCACTCAAAAACAACCGGTTGGGTCCGACTAACGTAAACTTCGTATTCAGACAGTAAGTCTTTTAGCCAGAACTTCCACTAAAAGATATTTCCTTTAAGTTGGCTGCAAACCAGTCCTTTTTCCTGAACAGACTGCACATACTGTGTCCAAGTGACATCAAGTCCTCGTTCTGGTTTTATTAGTTAATGGAGTTCAAGAATGGTAAAAACTGCATTCTTGCCATTTTAAACATTCTTGAACTCCATTAAATAAGGTCTTCTAGAAAGATGATGAACCTGTGGGAACAATCTTGGCCTTGAGCTAAAGAAGGAGTCTTGCACACTCACTCACACACACAAGGAGAAAAAAACAGGGGATGATTACACACATCAAAATGTAGCTCTTCGGAAATGTGTCCTCAGCAGAGAGAACAAAACAAAACAGCTTCCATCCTGTCAGCTTTGATAGGGAATAGAAACTGTGTGTCACTCTTTTCTCTCTCTCTCTCTCTGTGTGTGTGTGTGTTTATGTGTGAGCCCACCAGTCCAGTCTCCCACAACTCGCAGATGGATGCCCAAAGTTTCCTTGTTCTCTGTGGGACACTGTGAGGAGTTAAAGGGCTGACAGTTACTCAAAATACAAACACACACGTTAACACACAGAGACACGTGCAGCCAACACTAGAAAAACTGGCATACACACAAACACATGGGTCAGCACATATACAATACATAGCTACAGCTCTTTTCACTAAATTTAACAATCTACACACACACACACACACACATTGATGGACACACACACGCACGGCCTTCCTGTTGGCAGACAGTGTTACTAGCCTCAGGGGTCTGTCTGCTCTCTGTCAGAGTGATTCTCTACCCTCCTCCTCAAAGCTCTACAACACACCAGGCATAGGCATGCACAGTTATTGTGCTCCTTTGTGGGAATCAGTGGGTTTTGTATGTGGCTGTGTGTGTGTGTGTGTGTGTGTAAATGATTCCATCCCTTCCTGCTGTGCGAGCATACAGGGATTTCTTTATCCTCTCCTACTGTATCATGGAATCTGAACTAATCCCGTAAGCATCAATACACAGCGTGAAACACAATATTACTGCACAGCCCAGGTGTCAGTCAAGTGCCAGTCATCGGCAGAGGGTGTGTTGAGTATCTACTAATAAACATCTGCATTCACATGTGTATACAGAATATATGTGTGCTTGCACTGTGTCACGACAGAGGAATGCGTTAAAGCGAGCTGCACTAGGTCTTACCATTGTGAGCGTGAAGGGATGGTTCTCAAATGAGGAGACACCTGGGCAGTTAAGAAGAATATGCTGAGAAAAAAGAGGAGGACGGGAAGTCGCAGAGAGACAGCAGGATGTAAAAGAAGGAGGACAGGGGGATTAGAGTGGGGGTATGTCGAGAGAAAGAAATCATCAGATGAATCAAACGAATGGAATTTCTCTTCTCTCCAAAAAGCAGCGGATATTTGACCAACTCACCTGTCCAGGTCGAGCTTTGAAGTTCTTTTTCAGCATGCGCAACTCCACGACATCACAAGGGTGCCTGATGACTGTCACTATGGTAACAGGGTCACGGCTCTGGATGTAGCGGTAGAAACGCTCCACACAGTAGAGACAGAGAGGACCAGACACCCACAGCCACGTCTACACACACAGAAACAACACAGCACAAACCAGGCATATGGGATAGATAATGAAAGCAGTTTCACAAAGACAGCTTTATGTCATGTGTGTTGCTCTCCTGAGTTTATTTCTTTTGCGATGTCACTATGTTACAAGATCTCAGCAGTTACTCTGGTGTGACCCCAACACTGTCACATAAAAGGAAAGATCTGAAAAATCAATGACTTAATAGCTCATATGGCTCATGATCCATCACAGTTCCTGGTTACTGAAACGAGTGGACTACAGAAAGAAAAAGTTTTGTTGGTTCCAAGTTTGTTTGGTCTTTTTTGTAGATAATGGCTCCCACTGTGGTTCTCTGGACTCTCAAAATCTTAGAAATTGCTTTGTAATTCTTTCCATACTGAAAGATATCAGTGACTTTGCTGTTTATCTTGAGATTCTTAAGATCATGACATGATGTGTCATTTTTTTAAATCTTTCCCTTTACTTCACTTTGTCAGACAGGCTGAATTTAAGTGATTTCTTGATTCAACAGGTCTGGGAGCTATCAGGCTTGAGTGAGGCTAGCTTTCCAGAAACTCTGCTTTATCCCAGTTAATTCACGATTTAACAAGCAGAGAGTGATTTCATTTATTTTGCCCAGTCAATTAAGTCTTTATTTAAAAAGTGCATTTTGTATTTACTCCCACAAAGGGGGCAAATACTTTCGCGCAGCACTGTAAGCAAACCAATGACTGCTGCTGCTGTTCTGGTGGCATCAGTATTTGAAAAGTGGTTTGAATCATGAGGCTTGGCGATTTGAAACTTTGCATAATCACGGCCATTCAAACTACAGCAGCCGAATTTTCCCTCGGGAATGTATGTAAGTCGGCGAATGTTAGTACAGAAATGTGTACCAGGTATTTTCTATCAAAGCTTTGTAATTCCATCAGCCTGTTCCCCATCACAATAACCCGAGGAGACTCTGAATCAAATCCAGCTGAAAGGAGAGAGTACGCTCACAAGAATAAATACTAAATCGACTGATATCACAGTGTGAGGTTTTTCTCTTCCTTTCTGTTGGCAGTTACCTGTAACAGACTAATTGCTCGCAGCTTCAGTAAAGCCCTGGGAGCACAACTGTACTTAAGGGGGGATTTATGGAACCAGCTCGTTGCTTAACGACCAAGTGCAAACACATCATCACACACGCAGGAGGAAACACACACAAAAACAGGCCTTGATGTAGAGAAAGGATGCAGCCCCCCCTAGCAGTATTACACCCCTGCTCAATGGGACCAGCTCCTACCAACACTTCCCAAATACTCAGCATTCACCCAAAAGACCCAACCACAAACCCCAAAACGCTGACAAAGACGTAAACAAACATTTCCTTCAACTCAAACTGAAACACAAACACATGTAAATATGCTCATAACACACATGCCCGGACCACTCACTCACACACACACACACACACACACACTCTGACCTGGGGATAATGTGGCTGGAAGTGAGCGTCCTCGTTGCATCGCCTCTCCTCTTCTTCACTCGTGTCCAGTTCATCTCCCTGCTGCTCGGTGCTGCTCTGGTTGGCTCTGAAGCAACCAGGGGGGTGTGCCTCTATGTTGGTCTGATACTTTAGAGCTCCACTGATGAAAACAACATAATGTTTTCATCAGTCACACTTTAGCACATTTACTCATCACTCTTTTAAGACTACTCAGGCAAAATAGGTTTAAAATGAAAACTAGGCGCTGAGAGTTCAACCACACAGAAGAAAAAACAGGCGCGAACAAGCACTTGGCTGAATGGGATGACTAGTACCTGCATTTGAATTTCACCTGAAAGACTTTCAGTTCCTTGGAAAAAGAAATGACTCTGTGTGTTGCATAAGTGTAGAGGGGAAACCCAAACACCCACATGCACTGTTAGTGCTACCTACCCAACCATGTGTATCATCAGGATGACGTAGAAAACAATGAAGAGGTTGTGTGTGTACCAGAAGATCTCATAGTTGGACACGCTGTAATAAATTACAAGACGATCAGAGTTTACTAAGGACATGATGTACAGACTCCCAGCTCAGAGCCTGAGTGAGGAGAACATCAAAGATCAGTAAAGAGGTCGTTACACAGAACAACCCCCCCATAAACACTGCAAACAACAACCAAGCTCTGTATTCTCCTTTTTCGAATGCAGCTCTTTTTTAATGGTAACTAAGATATACACAACATGGCTAAGATATCCTGTTACACCCAACAATGTCATATGATTCTTCTGGTTCTGTACTAACCAAAACATAGCTTAATCTGTCAATCATTCTCCAGAAACAACAACTAAACACAGCATAAATCTCTTTTAAGAACTTAAAAGAGAAACTATTACAGCAACGTATTGCTCTCTGGCATGTAGTATAAAGCTCTTTTGTTTCTCTGAGTTAACTGTACTTGATCATGAAGTGGAATGATGCTAGAAGAGATTACTCAAGCTATCCCAATCTATCATTCCTGGGAAAGTGGAAGGAATTTTTGGAGAGGAAAGTTCCATTTCAAAAAATAAATACATAAAAATATTGCAGAATTCATTTCATGCATATTCTCACTTGAAAAAAATTAAACACTGTGGCCCGTGACTTTTTCTTTTTTATACATTAATCTGTAAAAGTGGGCTTCTCTTCAAAGTCTTTAGATGAGCTCATAGAGCACACATTTTCTCCTCCATGGGCATCGTAACGCAAAGTTTCTCACAACTCAACACTTTCTAATGTTAAAAGCAACAGGGAACAGACATGAAGGTACTGCAATCCGTAAAACATAAATAACCTTGGAGACTTTAAAGTTCATATCCGTGGATCACTGACTCATTAAGCAGGTATTCTTCTGCTGTGCAGCCGCCATCATCCCACCACTCCAGCCACTTAGCCAAATTCTTATCTAAAGCCTTAAGTGGTCTGGAAAAGCCTCTTATCCCCTGTTCAATTACCGAGGAAATCAGGGAGGCCGTTCGGAAGACTAATACACGTATAGTGAGTGACCCACTATGACCTGAATAAGGACAGAGCTGTGATTTTCTCTCCCACAACCTTCTGTTATTGTGCCTCCTCATGGTCTCCAGCTTACATTTCACTTTGACTAACACAAAATGAATCATGAGCTCAGACAGAAAGAGAAAAGCGAAGAAACACAACACAGAGATACTGATGTCTCGCCTTCTGTCTGACAGACAGACATAAATACAAATCGTGTTTGTATTGAGGAGCGGAGACGTGGAGCCGGGCTCCAATTCATCCCAATTACAGTTGCTCATCAAGTCTATGAAGGTTCTTTCCTCGCTTCTATTAATACAAAGACTATGATGACTATTATAATGGTGGTCTGATTTAGCCTACCGTACACAGTAGGAGGAGGATATGAACATCAGGAAGAGGATGAGGACCAGCAGCACACCAGTGACTCCTGGGACTAAAGACAATAACTCAGTTACAGAATGGAGACAAAGCCAACAAAGTACTCAGGGGTCACAAACATACATACAAAAATACACATAAGGGAATTGTCTGCTCACATGTTTAAAGCAATATTTGCCATTTAATTTAATATAAAAACTGAAGTTATTTCAAAAACACAACATGACTTCCTATTCTTTCTAAAGCCACTAATCTGTACCATAGTGCATGACAAAGAGTAGTCCTTACTTGTGGTCAGAATAATCAGCATGGGGTCCTAGGAAAGAAAGCAGAAAATAAGAATTTTGTGTTCACTCTTCTGCATCCGTTTCTGTGAGGACCAATGAAGAGTTTTTGATCTCACAGAGGAAGCCAAGTCTGTGCTTTGGAGAGAAAACTGTCTGCAGGCTTCTTTCCAACACATCACTTTAGCTGGTGACTTTCTAGAATGTTCTTGAAGGTGAGCTAATCAGCAGACAAAATCTCCAGACGACTAGCTTTGGCTAAAAGTGTGGACATATTTGGATATTTCCCTCACTTGCTCAAACAGGTTGATGCTTTCAGATTTAGAGATTAGTGTGCTTCACAATGAATGCTTCTCGGATTAAATAACAGTAGCTTAAGCTTTGATATAAAAGACAGTTGAACATCTGGCAATCCAGCAATCATGTTTTCTTTTAGTGGATGTTTTACATTGTGAATGACCAGGTGTGCAGGACTGTTTTGCTCATGTGCTCCAGATGTGGTCAGACAACAGGTTTCAAGCATGTCTTGAAACTGGAAGCACAGGATTTGCGGCGGGACGTGTCACTGTGATGGTGAGTTCATGGGGGTGTGCTTGAGTCTCACCTCTCCTCTGTAGCGAGCCAAATTGAGAGCCGGAAAGTCCTCTGAGTATCTCACACTGAATCTGACAACATTAACCAGGTGGGCAGAAACGTGCATAACTAGAGGAGAAACAAAGCGTTACACTGTGCTGATTTAAAACACATTTAGTGCGCACATACAAGACTTCAAACAGACACGCTCTCACTTAATTATACATGTTCAAAAGAACTGCCTTCAGAAACTCATACAAACATTTCTTTGTCTATTCAGCAAAAACTCAGCAAAACAACCTCCCCACTTACTAGCTGGCACACACACACACACGCACACAGGACACACACTCCTAGCTGACATCATGGCCAAACCACGCAGTTGTTTAACAGCTGATGGAATTAGAGGGTGTGATCATGAGACACAAGGGTCCTATTTTCCCTACTCACATCCTTCGTCACTCCCACTGCCTCCTCTATTGCTCTCTTTTCTTTCTTCCTCCTCTCCGTCTCTGTCTCTCCCGCTGCCTCCCTTTGTTGTCATTTGTTGTCTCTGAGGTTTGTTTTTCAGCACATGAGAACTTTGCCCCGGGGTTGGGGGCGGGGGGACGCATATGTAGGCGTAGGGAACTGCTGAGTAATGTTTAATGAGTTGAGAGGTGAGTGGTGATGAAGATAAAAGAAGAACTTAAGTTTACAGGTGATGCAATGGCAAAGAACAGATGCCAGCACTTGAAGTTTTTTTTTCATTTTTTTAATTTCTGTCATTCTGCTGCCAAAATCTCAGCCGATCAACCCAGGCTGGAATATCCGTGAAACCACAGAATGGAAGATTTTAACCGACGTTCCCAGTCCCCAGATAATGGATTGCTTCTTGCTGACCATTTTGGTTTTAAGTAAAATGTCACTCCAACTGTTATATGGGACGTGATAAAATGTGCTCTGAAGAAAATACAGGCATTCTGTTTCTATTTAATGCAAGTTAGCATGTTGATGTATGAATGTAAGCTGGTGAACATCAGTCTTTCTCTTCCATGGAGATGAACCTGCTTAATAAGCAATCAAGTAACGCAGTTTGATTGGTTAAACACTCTCAGCTGATGAATGAATGGGCTTATTTATCACTTTATCAGTAATCAGTAATGCATAATTTTGACAATCATCGTCTGGCCAGCTCTTCTCCGCAACCACCATTAATCACATTAATTAGTCAGATATTTAGAGCGAGACAGGACCTTTTTACAATGCCCGAATCTCTGCTGCAGGAAAGCTCACAGCATGTGGCTTACCACTAACTTCACTTGTGGTTCAGCTTTTTGTGACACATGCAAGTAACTATAAGAAACAGCAATGCCAGTCAGGCTTCCCAGAAACATATGAATAAGAGGAAGACCCCTCCAAAGAAGAGAGCCACTGAACCCACAGCTGCTTGAGGCTCCCATGATGTCATAGGAGGAGACCCATAAGAATAACATACACACAGACACGTAGACAGTAAAAAGAAACACAAACAGCAAGAAGAGCATCACAGCTGGTTCAGCAGAAATGCTGAGCCAGCGTGGATTCATGTGTACACATTCAGCACACAGACTAACACAGACAGGCACACAGTGATACATGAATGAATATGAGGCAGGGTGACGAGTGACAGCTTTTACCAGAAAAGATGCAGATGGCAACGCCACACGCCACATGAAAGGTCTTGGACTTGTCCAGCAGTCTGCGTGTCTTTCTGCTTGATATCTGCATCAGTGTGTGTGTCACACAGACAATAGTATTATTCACGTGGCTGGGATTCAATGAAAACACCAACTAATCCTCTTCCTTCTACCCTAATCAAGACTGCAATCCTATCATGTTTCTATATTCATATTTGCCTCTGTATTTTTCAGCAGTTCTTTTACAATATATGAGTCACTTTTACAGAATAAGCCCCACAACCTGTTTTCACTGATACAACCAAACCCACTTGGAAGTTCTTCTTCCCGTCCCTAAAAACTCCAATGATCCATCCGAGCTGTAGTATTTCTTACCATCCGTGTTCCTCGTACAAAGGTCACCAGAGAGCGACACATGGGCAAAAGCACCAAGCTGCAGTTCAGGTTTAGCACAGTTGCAGATGCCCTGCTGATGCACAATCCTAGCTGGGAAAGACACACACACAGACACACACACACATACATTGTTAGGCAAATTGCCAACACTGGGCCTCATTTGGTGGGTGTAAAGTGGCCTGGTGGATTAAGGTGCACATTTTTGATTATTCCCATTCAGATATGAGCTATTCAATCATGGCCAATTGAATAGCTCGTAGTGCTAGATAAAACTATCTTTGTCTTTCTCAGAATAGAGACCTGAGGACCCCTTTAGGAGTCTGTTAGTCTTTAAATGGAAGACATTCATTTATTTTGGAAGTCATCCAGTTTTTGGCTTTAAAAAGGGATTTAAAAAGACTGGAAAACGCTGTTTATTCTCTAAGTATACACTCAAAGACTCTTCTGACTACACCACTGTTTTGCCACCACTTGCAAGTTTTACAGTCTGTCATCCTTTCAGTACAGAGCAGGTTAAGTAGAGGCCCCTAACAACTTGATGACAAGTGGACAGTTTACCTGAAGCGACACAGGGGGGACGTCTGTGTAATGTGGTTTTACAAATCTTAATCTTAGAGCTCGACAATCGAAGCTGTTTTCAAGCTTAAAAGCTGGACGTCCTTTGGCATCTTGTAAACACAGCACATTTAAACACTTTCTTGGCAGCCTGAGCGTGCGCTGCAGGTGCCGTCTCTTCTGATTATCCCCAAGAAACTGAAATGACTGGTGTGAGAGATGAAGGTAAGCACAGATCAAAGACGGAGAGCGCGTCTGAAACTGGAGTCCAGCCTTTGAAGGGATGGGGGATTTAAATAGCGGTAAAGATTTGTGATGGCTGTAAGAGATGCAACATAATATAGGAAGTGCGCTTAAAACAATGCGATTCCTTAAGGCGGCAGCAGCTTCTGGTCAGTCACCAGTTTCAAGTGATTAGCTGTCACAGTGTGCTGTACAACAGATGCTGAAATATAAGAATGTGGTGAAACAACTGGTCAAGAGTTAAAATCGACATATAGCAGATGACGGGGGAAGACCAGCATGCTTATAAATCAGACGCCTACACCTTTGAAAGACTTCCCACACACACACGTTCACTCAGCATACCTTACTAAGAACAGCTGACGCAAAAACCAAGCAGGAGGTCTGATATCCTCCCTGCTTTCTGTACATCCCCAAAACCCGAGTTACACAGGTGAAGGAGAAAAGTTGGATATATGAAGTTTGAGCTGGATTCAGTTTGCCTTCAAAATACATCTCCGTCTTTGCATGTACACACGTACACATGCAGACACACACATAAGCTTAAGCCCTCTGGTAAGGCATTCAGTCAAGCCAGCAGCGTGCCCACACTTGCCCCTCTCTCCCCTTTGCTATCCACTGTACACGCAGTGCAATAGCTCGCACATGCTGCTCGCTGCCACATCTAATTTTATCACTTCCAGCTTTACCTTTGTTTTTTTCATCTGCTGGCTTTTCATACTAGCTTTTTGTGAGCTTTAACAACTTCATTTACAAATACTCGTACTGCATTATATGTGCTAAACTTTGTTCTTGGCACATTTCAGTTATCAGTTTGGAGTTTGTTCAGCACAATTTGATATATTTTTAAACACAGAATCCAGGTGAGGGCTTCTCATCTCTTTTTTTTTTTTGCTATATTTGCATAAAAATGTGCTTTTTGGGAGAAAATCACAGATCTGGTGCAGAAGCAATGACTGCAATTATTATTTCCAAAGACAAGGAACTTTTTCACTCACACAAGCATGCATCGAGATTCACACACCCACGCCCACAGAGACACCATTGAGACCTTGTGACAAAAATTACACCACATGAGCGAGCAGGCATTAAAATCTAAACCTGATTCTATGTGTGTGTGACTGGTTGACCCAGCTCATGTCCCTGCTGCCTGGTTCTGGAGGTCACAATCACATGCCACTATAAGTGGTGCTTTTATCTCTTCCTTAACAACAATAAGAATCAAATTTTTTTAGCAGAAAATAGTGTAAAAGTCACACACAACCTTGTTTATTTGTGGAATTATGAAGAGCACTGTAGGTCTACTGAATAAAGCTACTGTCAGCGGTTCCCTTATTCACAAGAACCAGGGATTTTTCACTTATCAGCCAAAATATGTGAATCACTACATCATGGAGCTAAACTTTGTAGGCCTTATGAAGGTACATGATTTATAACTAATCTCAAATGATATGGTGGACGAAAGTCACTACGTTTCTCACAGCTGGTCAAAACACAGTTGCTACTTATATCATTAAGAGTGACCTTGTTATTTTCAGTTTTCTTTTGTGAAAGTTAGCTGGCATCAACAATATTATGACCCTCAGGGTCACTGATGAGTTTTTCCTGTCTCACGTGTCAAGATGTACAAAAACAAAAATCTTGAAAAAAGGGTCCGTTTCCTTCTTTAAGCTTGGTTCAACACAACACATCTAGAAAGTGCATGTAAATGTATCAGGTCTCACCCCGAGCATCTTGTAGAGGTAGTGGTATTGCTGTCCAGTGAAGTAGAGCAGGAAGGTGCTGATGAACAGCCAGGTGTTAACTCCCAGCCACAGAATCTACCCCCCCACACACGCAGACACACACACACACGAAACACATCATCACAAACAGCACAAGAAACTGCCTGTAAAATTCTCGTGCACATCTGTATCTGAGTTCAGGCCACAGCTGCTCTACAATAGCCAAGCAGACTGCATGGATACAACATGTACTCAACACAGTAACTACTGAGCAGCAACAAATTCATTTGAGCGTTCTTGGAGAATTGTGTAAGTTAAAGATAAATAAGAGATATATTAACGAGTCAGTTAACAGATTTAAGTGGAGATGGGAGGTTTTCAAATGTCAGACAAAAACTTTCCCCACCAGGACGAAGTGCTTCCCTCCTTCGTTGGCCACCCAGCTCCGCGCCGACACAACCATGATGCCTTCGGGGGCTCAGCAGCTGCCCAAACTTTTCACCAAAGCTCCGGTGTGGCCAAGATCTCAGAGACTCGTCCTCCCTGCAGCTCTGCCTCAGTCTGTGTGCCAGACTGCAGTGTCCACAGAGCAGCCGGTGCCTGCTCAGTCCAACCTCCCAGGAACTCCTTCGTTCACAGTGCATTTTCACTTTTTTAGCCACCACAGCTCTTTCTCTCTCTGCCCCTCTCACCAGTCCCCCCCATGAACGACACGCAAGGACATTAAGACAGCAGCTTCCCTAAAACATCGTGAATTTATAAAAATACACAGGACGAACTCATTGAAACTACAAACACACTTGGGGGGAACAATAAACTACGATTAATCGCTCCTTGCTGCGTCTTTCTGGCACTAGAGGGCGCTATAGACCAGCGTATCCCCGTGAAGTCTCCAATCTTTGACTCCTATAAGGTACTTTTTTAAAATTATACTTACACTTTTAATCACACATTTTAACTGTTGTTTTTTAATTACAAAGACTTGCAAAGTTGAAGTTTATTTTATTTATTTCTTTTGTCTGATCTGAAGTGGGGTTGGTAGGTCGAATAACCTGCCTGACTTTAAAGGACAATTATTTTATTTAAAAAAAAACAATTTAACTAAACCAAACATTTTAAATAACAGACGAACAGTCTGGAAAAAAATACACTGACAATTTTTTGAAGTAAACAACTAATGTGTTGTAGTCTTTATGACAATTTTAGCAGGCATGACGTTAACAGTGCAATTAATTGAAAAATAGTTATAGATTTTACGCTTTAGCACACACACACACAGTGGAACTATAATAATAACTTTTATATTACCAAGAAATTATTAACACAGACTTATTAACGTATTAACTTATTAATGTGCTGTTTATGCAATAAGAAACCACTGAGATGAAGCTACTTTCGGCTGCTCCCTCTTCACGAGGGGTCTTCACATCGGGTAGCTCTGTATGTTTGATTTGGCACCGGATGGCCTTCCTGACCCAACACCAAAGGACAGTTGACCACAGAGAAATTATTGCTAAAATTATAACTGTATAATCACTGTGAGAGATATTAGATGTTTGATTTGAATTTTTGCTAACAAACTAAGAATTGCTGTTTGGGGAGATGCATGTGAGAGTCCATGTTAAGATTGTGATTATGACCTTTAGATCTCTGCATGGACAAACACCAGCATACATCAGAGAATATTTACACCCTATAGGTCCCCAGAGGTCTCTGAGGTCATGTGATCAGGTCCTTGTGTATCACACCAGGCTGAAAACTAAAGCAGACAGCGCTTTTGCAACAGTTGCTCCAAGACTCTGAAACTCCTTCTGAGCTTGAGATCTTTGGGTTTGATGAACGCTTTCAAAAACAGATAAAAACTCTTTTTTTTTTTTTTTTTAGATTTTTTGTTTTTCAGTTTTTCAGCATTTTGTTGTGTAGCCCTTTGTGATGTTTTTCTTGAAATGTGTTATACAAATAAAACTTTCTTACTTACAGTTTATTAATTATACCTGAAAAACAAGTTAAATTTAAAAAAAATCAACATCTAAACATCTAAATTAACATCTTAATTAAATTTGATTCCCAGATAAACAGCTTGTTGAGGAGTCACTGTTGTGGTTTGTGAACTCCTCACATTCCTGAGGGCAGAGAGCCTCCTCCCCACTTCACGCTTCAGCCGACTGCATGAAAGGGCTATCCTATACACCACACAGCTGTTCACAGAGCCAGGAGGGGTCAAGCAGAGCAGAGCATGCAAGTCTTTGCTGTGGGAAAACATGCATGACTATCAATAGCAACAGACAGTGGTCTAATAGGAAATCATGAAATTTTAGCTGATATGGATCTTAACCTCTTAAGCCCCAAGCCTACCTGATCTCCTGCTTTTTGCCCCCGTATCAGGGGGCGTTGGGGCTTAAGAGGTTAAAGTAAATAAACTTGTGCTTAATAACCTGCTTCCCTCTGTAGGAGCTCGGCTCACATTTCAGCAATGTGTAGAAAAGGGATTAAAGCTATCATACCTTTGATTGTGTGACAGAAATGGGTTTCACTAACCTGATTTGTTACATCCCTCCTTTCTAAATAAAAGCCTCTGTGGCTGGTGAAATGTGCTTTTATTTCTTTTATTTGAGATTAATTAAATTTTTATTATTAAAAAGGCCAATATCAGACATTTTCAGGTTTGGTGCTTTGGTGGAGGTTATGAGAGAGTTCAGAAAGAGCATGCTGGGCTAAAGTTTGTTCAGCTGGATCAGTGTCTGCTGACTAGAAGTGTTCAGTGCCCTACAAATTTTCCCCATGACCGAAAGTGATTTAGTATCTGCTATTCCATTTTCACTCCCCCAACCTCTGCTTTTTTTCTCCACTAGTGTCATTAACCCCCACCCCCCACTAGGAAAACAGTATCCAGAGTGGCTATCTTGTTTTATACTGAGTAATAACTGAGTCAGCACTGGAACAGCCAAGGTGCACGGCACAGCAATCAGCTCACAGGCAAAGCCAAGCATTAATGACTGATTGCTTCTTTGCATTCCTGTCCAAGTTTTCACTCACCGCCTCTTTCAGTCAGCCACCACACTCCCTCCCTCTCTGTGTATCACACTCCACCTCACTCTGCCATTCCCCCGCTGTGCACTTCTCAAACAAATTACTCTCTATCGCTATCTCTGCAAGCGTGCCCTGTGGAGTCAGTTGTGTCCGCGTGTGGAAAAGTTGGAGCCGTGCCGTTTTAAAATGAGGAAAGAGAGCAGGTGGATTCGGTGGATCAAGTGGATTGTGATTGTGACAGTTTTGTTCGTGCTGGCCTTCTGCATAGGTGAGCGTGTAAAGCCAACCCTAGCTTTATCTGTATACTGATTGATATTGCCTGCGTGCTTTTCTGTTTCTTTTTAATGAAGTCTCTAATGGTATTGGTGGAACAACAGCATAGCTGTCCTGGATATGTATATTAATGAAGAAACCAGAGAGAGTTAATTAAATGACTTAAATAAATACACTGCTTAAGGAGATAAAGCTTTTGTTGTTTTGTTTTTGTGAATTTCTCTAAAATGATTAATGTGAACTGTTAAAGTACTTAGTGCCCTTCGTGATGGCACAGTTTGAAGAGCTTGAGTGTCACCATACTGACAGATTTCACGTCTTTGTGCTCACAGCAGGTTAACACTCACTCCATAAACCCATCGAACCTTACAATATAACATTGGCAACCTTTTGTCAAGCACCAATACAACCAGTATAGTCCATCTATTGCCTGCTATTTCCTCTTTAAAATAACAATTTTAAACACATAACAGTGTGTGTGGTAACAATTTGCTTCTTAAGAGAAGTGATGCCATTGCAACTCACTCAATGGTTGTTTGTGCTCTATTTGTCTATGTGTAGGCTGGTTTGCAAAGCCTTCAAACACACAAAACCAAAAGGATTCCAGCCATTACCTGAAGGATTTTTTGGAGGAAATGAAGGCAGATAAGATCAGAGAACATCTCAGGTAAAAAGTGATCACCAGTATACTAAATCTGTTGTGTAAATCTGTATTGGAGTGGTCTCTGTTGACTTTTTGACCCCCTCTGCTCCAATGTTGGTAGTCGCACAGCAGTGCTAGTCATGGCGCTGACATCCCACTGACTCACCCAAATCTAACATGGTGTGCCAGGTGGTTTGTTGAGACCTTTGAGGACTCCAGCAAAGTGTACTGAAATCATGCTGGTTACTAAATACTTAGTTTTGATTTTATTGTAAAGTCTAGTTTTGATCCAAAGAACCTGAAGGTGAACTATAGCAACATGAACTGTTTCAGTTGAGTGAAAACATCTGGGCATGTGCATCATGTTGCGTTCAAGTGAAATCATGTATCAGCCTTGAATGCATGTAATAATTTTCTTTACATTTATTTTTTATGTATTCAGTTCAAGGTGCTATTCTTCACATAACAGTGCCACTGTAACCATCAGCATCCTCTCCACAGGAAATTTACACAACTTCCTCACCTGGCAGGCACAGAGCAGAACCTGAAGTATGCGGAGCAGATCATGAAAGAGTGGCAGATGTTTGGAATAGACTCAGTGGAGATGGTGCCGTATGATGTCCTCTTGTCCTATCCCAATGAGTCACAACCAAATTACATCTCAATTGTTGATCACCTTGGCAATGAGGTACAGTGTGCTGGAAAAATGTGTACTGAAAGTGCATGTTGATGCAACATTGATTCAAAAAGACAGCATGCAAATTGTTGTACAACCTTTCTATATGATGCATACCTCCCCAAAACCTCTACTTGTGTCTGGTGCAATATTTTTATAGCATTAGGATGGAAGTCATAGCCATGTCATTTCATAGTCTGTAAAACAACCATTTTCATGTCTTGTGTTCAGATAGTGGAACCACTTTGGATTTATTTGTAGTTCACACAGTGGGACACATTTAGTGACACTAATCAATTTCACCACCTCAAGAATAAAAAGCCTCTTGTGATTTTCCCATGCATTTGAACGTTCAGACCTCTTACTACTTCTCACTGTATCTGGAGAGGTAACAAAGTTGCTGACTGTATGTAGAAAAGACACACAGTAACATATTACTTCAACCCCCCTCTCCTCTCCCCTCCTCCCCCACCCTTCTGATAGTCTTCACCACAGAAATGCAAGACTTACTTGTTCGAGTCCAAGGTCCTTTTAAGGTCTCGGTGTGAGATAAACCTCTGTGAATGTCTGATAATGATACAACACAGAAAAACAGCATTGGTGCACTGTTGTATATCAGCTGGTTGGGATGCATTAAGGAGTTTAAAAGCAATCCGAGCAACTAAATGTCTGAAGCCTGGAAATTATTTCAGGAAGTCAGCTTGAGCTGCATTTCATCACACAGATGTAGCATACCCCCAAACTCAGATGAGAAAAGAAGAAGTTTAGTGTTTGGCATTTTACTTGAAAAGAAACTTCAAATCTTAAAAATAGTTTCTCAGTATTGTAACTGATCAGTTAACCTTAATTTATAAAGTAGATTTGGCTATCAGATGTAGTTAAATTAAAACAGTGTTTCCCTCCAATGCAGTGCCAGTACCTTTAATCTGTAATTAAATGCAGTGCTGCACATGTCAGAACACTTATGACAGGGAGATCGGGAATAATTGAGATTTATACACCAGAGTGAACGACTGTCAGTTAACCTGGTCACATATATGATCCCACCTTGTATAATCTGAAGTTTAATTTTATATGCCAGGGATAATCTTCTTCAGTGTGACCTGAACTTCATGCAATATGCTGCATGTAACTGGAGTGGAAAAAAACTACTGCTATTTTGGGCCTTAGTGAGTGTAACCCCATGCTTTAGGAACTGAACTCTGTGTGACTTCAGGGAAAGCTGTATCTCTATGTTTATATGGTGGCTTCACACAGCAGACTGGCCTTGAAGGGGGCTGTTAGACATTTAATAGGCAGTATATAATGGAAAGCTTGCTGAATGTTTTCGCTCAACTCTGTGGGGATCTGTGTGTAGTAGGTAGGCTGGTTGCATACGACAGAGGTGCTTCACACCATAACAAGCAGGAGTCGTGTGGTCCTGTGCTCTATATAAGTAAGGACCCAAAAGCATCCAGTTTATACTGTCATCCTTTATTTTCTGCTGTTGGTGTATTTGCTTATGGTATACATCAAAGGGAGGCTTCTGCTTCTGTGTTGGTTAACTCTGCTCTTTTTAGATGCTTTGCAATCTAGTCCAGACAACCATTGTCGTGTGTTTTTACTTTTTGACAAGATCAAAGCTGAGTTCACAGCTGACCAGCTTCTGATGGAAGCGAGGAAAGAGTTTCCTCAGCTGTTCTAATCCAGTTTAGTTTAGCCCCGTCTGTCTTTACTTTCTCAGGTTTTTAACACTTCCTTGGCTGAGCCGGTTCCACAGGGTTATGAAGATATTTCCAACATCGTACCTCCATACAGTGCTTTTTCTGCCAAAGGACAGCCTGAGGTAAACAAACATGTGTACACACAAACAATTATAATATTAAAACAGGCACCCGAGGCCTTTGCTTCTCGTTTGTTTCTCCTCAGGGGGACCTGGTGTATGTCAACTATGGTCGCACAGAAGACTTTTCTCAGTTACAAAGGGAGATGGGCATCAATGTGACAGGGAAGATTGTCATTGTCAGATATGGAAAAATATTCAGAGGCAATAAGGTAAGAAAAGTGTCTTTCCTGGTAAATTTCAAAATATGCCAAAAATGTTTACATTTTCATTCATCTTTAAACGATTAATGCACTCTGTCAGCGTCACATCAGTCATCTGATTATGTGATGACTGGTTGAGAACAAACATGACACCTTTTCTTCAAAATAACCCACAGCTCCCTCTCCCCCTCTCACCCTGTCTGTCTGCCAGGTGAAGAACGCCATGTTAGCCGGAGCAAAAGGGATCATTATGTTCTCAGACCCAGCAGATTACTGGGCTGATGGAATCCAGGTTGGAATTTTAAAAAGCCACGATGTAGTGACAGTATCTACAAACAACTGCAATTAATTTGTGATTAACCTTTTCTTGAAATCACAGTCTGACCACTGGTACGTCAGGACAAAAATGGAACAATTAGCATTTTAAAATTTGTTTACTCGCAGGCCTACCCCGACGGCTGGAACCTACCTGGCGGAGGAGCTCAGAGAGGAAATGTTCTCAACCTGAATGGAGCAGGAGACCCGCTCACACCAGGGTACCCTGCTAAAGGTGGGCGCTGCCATGCGCTAGAGTCTGTACTCTCATCATGAGCATGGATGTCATAGTAATTTGGGGCTTTTAATGATTTCTTTGAAGCACCTTTAATGACTTTAAAGAAGAAGAATTAGGTATACAAGTTTTAAGTGATCTTGAATTTTTCTCTAATTCACACAGTTACTCAAACTTTCACGTACAGGGTCAGAAGTATTTAATATATTAACTGTTGCATAAGTTGGACCCTGACTAGAAACTTTTGGTAGCCGGCAACAAGTTTCTGCCATATTTATGACTGGATAATTGACCACTCTCTTATCAGAACTGATCAAGTTCAGTTAAATTAGTTGGTTTTCTTGTATGAGCTATGCTTAAAGGCAGAGTCTGTGCCAAGAAATCAACCAATATCGAGCCAGAATTAAACCAGAAAGTTGTTGATGGCCACCAAACGCATCTGGTTGAGGAACAACTTGCTAAGAAACATTTAACCAAATATTAGTGGGGATGTATATATACTTTTGACCCTATGTGTATAATTTGAGTTCATGACTAGATTAGATTAGATTAGATTAGAAAAATCCAAGATATTTTAAAACTTGTGCATAGTTCTTTTTTTTGTTAACTATTCAAAGAAATCATTCAAAGCCCCAAATGACCATAATATTTATGCCCATGAAGACTATAAGTAAACTTCTGACCACTATTCTACATAGAGTTTACCTAACAACATAGAGTTTCCTCTCCTGCAGAATACACCTACAGATTCAGCCCAGAGGATGGAGTAGGACTTCCCAACATCCCTGTGCATCCAATTGGCTTCCACGACGCTATTCGTCTTCTGAAGTATGAATTTTTTTTTTCCATTTCAAACACTTGGTAATAATGACCAATTTATTAGAGCATTGTTTTCACTTTCACTTCCATCTGGAGTTTAAGGTAACAAATAATACATTTCACTGGAGGCCCCTGGATGACATTGCTAGTGAATTTGTAAATATTTTTTCATGTTACAGTAACATGGGAGGAGAGATTCCACCCAACAATTGGAAGGGAGCTCTGAACGTCTCCTATAGGATTGGCCCAGGCTTTACAAATGAATTTAAGAGCCAGTAAGTTCTTGTCTAAAGCTTAAATCCTTCACATTTTCATACTAAACCCCTTTCATCTTCTGCTGGCTGTTCTTCCTCTGCCACTTCAGTCCAGTCTCCAGTCTGTTTTTAGTGTTTGTCTCTTCTTTTTGTTGCTCTTGTTCACATTCTGTGACCCAGTGGCATCAAGCCAACTGAAATACAATGGAGGCCTTTGTACCGCCTGTGTGTGAGAGACATAACTAAATGCGCACAACAAATCAATTCAGCTGTTCCTAGCAGACCTAAATTTTGAGCTGCAGTTTAAAGTTGTTCTGAGACCATTCATTATAAAACAAACTTAAATAATAGCATTTTGTGTGTGTTGAAACTTATACCCCAGGCATGATCCCCAGGTTTTTACACCAGTCATTTCCTGTTAAATTATTTTGGTCTGTTTGTGTCGTAATACCTTTGCGTGTATCGCTCATTCCTCAATCTGCCTCTCTCAGGAAGGTGCGTATGAACATCCACACTAACAACCAGGTAACCAGAATCTACAACGTCATTGGAAAGATTAGAGGAGCTCAGGAGCCAGGTACCAGAAACCCTTCATTCTGCATCACACAATTAGCATTGACGTGCAGACCGCAGCGTGGATACACAAACAAATTCGATGTCTGCATACAGTACGATATATAGGAATGAAAATACAGCTTGACTTTTGTTTGTCTGTTCAGAGACATTAAAACAGTGTCTTAGTGTCTTTTTTATTTAACATCTCTTGCTACATGTGCTGTTGGTGGGTTTGTGTAGACAGGTATGTGATTCTCGGAGGGCACCGCGATGCCTGGGTGTTTGGAGGAATCGATCCCATGTCTGGCGCAGCAGTGGTCCATGAAACTGTCAGGAGTGCTGGCAGGCTGCTAAGTACAGGTATGATTTTCCCAGTGAGTGAATGAAATAATATCTGTATTAATACTCAGGATTCATTGACATCTGTTTGTGTGTGTAGGCTGGAGGCCAAGGAGGACTATAATATTTGCCAGCTGGGATGCAGAGGAGTTTGGACTGCTGGGATCTACAGAATGGGCAGAGGTACCGTATATGCAAATGTACACACACTATATTTAAAACACACACAGAATTATCTCACTTCACCCTTCTCGTCAGGATAATGCCAGGCTTCTGCAGGAGAGAGCTGTGGCCTACATCAATGCAGACTCTGCAATAGAGGGTGAGAATGCTTTTCTGTGCACATATTGAAAAAATGACTTAGTGCCAGGTTGTTTCTGGTTTTATTTGTATGTGTGCATGTCTTTTTAAACTCCAGGCATGTACACTCTGAGGGTTGACTGCACTCCATCACTGCATACTTTGGTTTATGACATCACGAAGCAGGTGGGCAGATTTAAACTACCACAGATCTGAGTATATGGTGCTTGTCCAAGCATCTTCTTCTGTTGACCCTGAGGTCATCTGTTTTTATGTTTTGGAGCAGATACCCAGTCCAGAAGAAGGTGAAGAGGGAGTATCTCTGTACAAGAGCTGGCATAAGAGGGACAACTGGACAAATGACCGTGATGCACCCAGGTAGAAAGCTACAAAGTTAGACAAAATAGGATAATAAGCATTATTATTAATAAGCAACAGTAAAAAATGTTGCCATTTGGGAACATTGTGTAAGACGCACTAACCGGCCAGAACAGGTACAGCAAATAAATGCATTTAGGCATGTAGACAACCTTCCAAAGTTTAAGTAACTTTGAATGTGGTGCGTTTGTTGGTGTCAGATGGGCTGGTCTGAGTATTTCAGAAACTGCTGATATACTGGGATTTTCCCACACAACCATCTCTAGGGGACAGAGGATGGTCCCAAAAAGAGAAAATATGTACTGAGCAGGAGTTCTCTGGGAGAAAGTGCCTTGTTGATTGCAGGGATCAGAGGCGAATGACTGCTTCCAGCTGACAGGAAGGCTACAGTTACTCAGAGAACCATTTTCTTAAAGAAGATGGTCTACGGCAGCAGAAGACCACACCAGATGTGAGTCATGTTAGCTAACAACATGGGGTCACCAAAATTGGACAATAGAAGATTGGAAGAACGTTTGCTGGTCTGATGAGTCTAAATTTGGCTGTTTGGATGGATGGTAGGGTCAGAAGTTGGTATTAAAAACATGAAATCATGGATTGATCTGGCCTTTTGTGAACATTTCAGGCTGGTGATGATGTAATTATGTGGGGGACATTATTTTTCACTTCGGGGTCTTCAGTACCAACAGAGCATCGTTTAAACACCACAGTCTACCTGAGTATTGATCATGCTAATAAAAAAAGGGATTCTGACGGTTGATTCCAGAAAGATAACACTCCATGTTAGAAAGCAACTTTTTCTGAAGACAGAAGGTCAAACTGAGTACT